CTCTGAGGGTCATTGGGGCTGGGCAGCAGGTGCCAGCGGAAGAGCAGAGTGAGGGGAGGGACCATGAGACTCTGGGAAGGGAGCCAAGATTCCAGAGAGCTATGATGGTGAGTTTCTCTCAGTCTCTCTCCTTCTCTCCCGAGGGGGGGGGGCAGTGGTGTTCAAGGGATTGCGGGGGCTGTGGTGTGCAGGGGGCAGGAGCCGGGGCGGCAGATGGGGGGGCAGATTTTCTGTGTTGCCTAAGGCAGCACAAAACCTAAATACACCACTGAACAGTGTATGCCCCTGTAAGGCTGTGTTTATCCGCACAGGGATGCATACGTGTTCCGTCATCTCCGCACCGGCAGTTCCATTGATGTTATTTGGGATGTAGCAAATGCACAAACCTAGCTGTTGCTTCCAATTTGACACTCATGTGGGTCCAGGTGCATGTCCCTGAGCTCACACTGTCTGCATTCGGGGTCATGCACCCAAACCCACATGGATGTCAGATTGGGAACAGCAGCTATGCCCATGCAGCCGTTGCATCCCAATTGACATGAATGAGACTGCCTGCGTGGGAATGCACAGAACACCTAGGCATCCTATGTAGGTAAACACGGCCCTCCATGGGCATACATTTTAGTACACCCCATGTTAAAAGACCTTCGTAGCAATTTAGCAGGAATTTTAAACAGTTAGGCTGTGTTTGTGTACATTAATAATGATTTTAGTGTATTTGTAGTGAAAATAGCGATTTGATGAACATTTCCACAACCGCTGCAGGGCCTAAAAAATCAGTAGCACTTTTTTATTCTACAGGTCATACAGGTTTCAGAAACTGTATGGTTTGGGGGATCATTTCAAATTCTGAAAGCTGTAAGTAAAAAATGGTAACCTCCAGATTGTATAAAACTATAACTACGGTATCAACCAAAAAATAAATATACTATCAATAATACCCTCTAACATATAAGATCTAACTTTCACCCTTGAAAGTGCAAACCAACACAAAAAATCCAATATGTTAAATAAATATCCCTAAACACATATGCTAATATACATATAGTGAACCCAAACAATCATAAAATTAATCCCAAAAATAACCAATACATATAAATAAAATAAAATGAAAAAGCAAAGAAATATATAAAAATTCAAAAATATTATCCAAATTGTAAGTCACTCGTGTCCAGAAAGATATATAAATTAAAGTCACTCCAAAAACTTTGTGTCCAAAAATATACAACTTATCAGATCCTTTAGTGCCGAGCCCCTCCAATGGCTCCCAAAAGGAAAGAATGTACCTCAAAAGAAAGAAAACTCATATAGTGCATTAACTTAATAAATTTAATATCATACCCATATACCATATGCACTTGTGCAACTTCAAAAACTGTGAAAAATTATTAAAGTAAAAATTGTGAACACTGTGTAAAACGTGATAGTGCGTCACTCTGTGAATACAATAATCCAAGTGACCATACAGTGTATACTTCTATAGTGTAAGGCATATATACCCTTACCAAAAAAACAAACAAAAACACCTTATCAATATTGCAGAGATCGGCAGCACGCTCCCACAACTTTCCTCCAAGCCACTTTCCACCGCGGACAGACCAGTGCCTTCCTCTTCGAGTGACTTACAATTTGGATAATAGTTTTGAATTTTTATATATTTCTTTGCATTTTAATTTTATTTTATTTATATGCATTGGTTATTTTTGGGATTTATTTTATGATTGTTTGGGTTCACTATATGTATATTAACCTCCAGATTTTGAGACTAAATTGTTTTTAATTACAGTTTTGCACACATTCCTTTTTCCCCATTTCACAAAAATGGCACAATTAAAAATTTACAAATATTTGTTATTTATTAACTCAAAGCAGTTTTAACTTTTATATTTAGTAGGAATTTAGCAGGAATTTTATACATTTTGCCATGTACTGTGTGTATCCACTAATAATGATTTTAGTGTAGTTTTAGCAAAAATACTAAAACATTGATAAACATTTGCGCAAATATCACAGGGCCTAAAAAATCAATAGCACCTTCTTTTTATTCTACTGGTCCTATGCTTTCAGAATATATATGGCTTGGAGGGTTTTTCACATACTCTGAAAGCTGTAAGTGAAAATTCAAAACCTCCAGATTTTTAGAGAAATTTGGATATTTACAGTTTTGCCTATGTTCGATTTTCACCATTTTGCAAAAAGGCACAATTTATAACGTACAAATATTTGTTATTTTATAACTTAATGCAGGTTAAAATTTTATATTTAGCAGGAATTTTGTAAAATTTGCCATGTTTTTATCTGCTAATAATCATTTTAGGTAACTTTCAATAAACATAGCCTTAAAAATCAGTAGCACCTTCTTTTTATTCTACTGGTCATGTGCTGTCAGAAAATATATGGTTTGGGGGGGTATTTTACAAACTCTGAAAGCTGTAAAACAAAATAACAAAGCATTGGAAAAATTGCGAAAATGGTCTTGCCAGCTTGGTTTAAAAGAGGAGCACAGGGCCTGGCAGCGAAAGCGTTGAACTTCAAAGTAAGGTCAGCACAAGCATAGTTAAAATGCAGTCAGCATAAGTAGGTTAACCATCAAGGACAGTCCACGATAAGCAACCCAAAATCTTTACAATAGGCAATCAAGATGTGACACAAAATACCCCTAAAAATGCCAGGACAATCAAAAGCACATTAATACCTGGTGAATAGTGAGTTTGCTTGGCCACACTCCTCTAGGAGCACAGTTTGCCAAAGTGAATAATAAGGTTGCTAGTGTACTCCACTAGTAACAGAAGGTAGTGAGGAAGCCACAGCAGAAAAAAGGAACATCCATCAAAAGAAAGCAATAGAAAGCATCAACCCACAACCAACCTCTACACCCAACTAAGTCCTAGAAAACTGCATGTCCCACAGAGCAGTAATTATCAACCTCCTAAATGATAGGTAAAACTGAGATTTCTTATAGTGGAATTAAAGCCTAAAATTAACTGTTCCTACTGTTCTTAAAAGGTTCCCTTCCCCCTCCTCCTCCTACCTCTTTTTTTTCAGTCTGTCTGCCATGGTCTGATCATGTGATACGGCAGCTCTGGCTCTCCTGTGTCAGTGAGCGGCACCTGCAGAGGAGAGGAGGGAGTGCCGACAATGTCTGGGCCATGAATCCTATGAATAACATCATAGCTCATGGAATTCCCATTCAATTGCAAGCACTCCAGGACACAGGGAAGCCAGAGCTGCAGGATCGCATGACCAGACAATAAAAAAGAAGGTACACAGATCTTTTTCTACACAGGGTAGGAAGGATAGGTAGGAGAAGGGGGGATAGAACACTGTTAAGAATAGTTAGTGTTAGACTTTAATTCCACTTTAAAAATGTAAACTTATACATAAAGACAGACGAAAGTACAGAATGATAATTATCTGTGCCAATACATAGACTATCTAACAAATATCTCCAGTAAATGAAACAGACTACATCAAAATATAACTGAATAAATATATGGAAAGTCCTTAAACAGTAAAAAGAAAAAAAAAAAAAACATAAAAAAGAATTGGGGGGGAAGGAACATCAAAGATGCTTGCCCTGTCACTTCAAGATTCATGATCAAATACGAAATCCACCAGGGGAAAAATAAAAGGATAATGAAGAAGAACCAAGAGGCACTATGGAGAATGGAGATGTGCATTCTAAGACAATATGATCAACTGTTGTTTGGAATCTAGCTCATTTTAGCCACATTTTAGTGAATGCAGCTGGAGATAATGAGCACGTTTTTCCATTTCTTTTATGTTATTATCTGAACTTACCTTATTATCCAATCATCCGCTGTTACAATTGCTATATTTACTAAAGCCATGGAAATTATGTCTAGCAAATAACAATCTGCAGATGACTTAATTCATCAAATTGAAATGATTGTAATCTGCTGGTCATATGAAGAAAGTTTAGCTGGTATAGATTGCGTAGTTTAGCAGGGGTGTTCTTGTAAATTCAATTGTTCCAAAAATCTGCACTTGCAAAAGTGCAGCGCAACAATAAAAAAACAATCAGATGAAATATCCTGAATACTGTGAATATACTGTATATAAAGTGAATAAAAAATAAAGCTCCTTAGGAGCAACACCAAACAACTTTGTCCATTGTAATCTTTGTCCATGTGATTTTTAGTGAGCGTATATAACTTAAAATAACAAAAAAAAGTGCAAAACAAATATTTCATATATACCATGCTGTGGATTTACTAAAACTGGAGCGTGCACAATCTAGAGCAGCTGTGAATGGTGGCCAATTTGGCACTCTGCAGTTTCAGTAACGCAACCCCTATGAGTCCTTACATCCTTCAGAAACCGAAATTGCCTTCCCAATATAAAGTGCACTCTTGCTGTGCAAGCTTGACAGGCACTTTCATGAGTATTCCACCAAACTGCACCACCTCCTTTGATACAAACTGCTTACCTCCAAGTTTGACCCACACTTAGGTAAGGTCAACATTTATTTTGCCCTTCAACCCAGGTAGATATGTAATACAGATGTACAGTCTGTGCTAACCATACATTGCAATATCCTAACTCAGTCACCTGAACTGCCTAAGATCGTAGGTCCAAGGCCTGCATTGGTAGTCAGAAGAGTTATGAATCTTAGAGATAACTTGGTACAATCGGAATTCATACGGACACCCTCCAGGAACTGGTTGACTGACCTACCCCGATTGAAAGACATGTTTCCATGGGGTCGATGCCAATTTGTAATTATGTGGATTGGACCAAAAGGTTCAATAGATAGATCTATAGGTCCAATAGATGCAGATCAGCAGAATGTATATTATATAAAACAATTTGTCAACTGCGGTACTTCACAGGTTCTCTGTATCCTTGAGTGGTATAATGAACCAAAAGGTTTATTATTTGAATGTAGACCAGGCCTTGAAATTTCCACTCGCCAGCTCGCATTGGTGAGTGGAAATTATGGGGGAGGCAAGTGTGTCCCCAGGGCCGTCTTGCTGAACAGGCTCGGAACTCAGGGCCAGATCTGTCACTCGCACTGGGGAGCCATCAGACTGCTCAATAGTTGAGCAAAGTGAAAGCAAAGGAAGGAGTGTGTGCTGTGCTCTCAGCCTCCCCCTAGAGTGCAGTACCCGGCTCTGTGAGTGAAGGTAAGAAGTACTGCAACTTTTTATAGGGGTGTGTGTGTGTGTGTATTTGTATGTGTGTGTACATTTGTGTGTGTGTATTTGTATGTGTGTGTTTTTGTACATGTGTGTGCGTATTTTTATGTGTGTGTGTATTTGTATGTGTGTATGTACATGTATCTGTGTGTGTGTTTGTGTGTGTCTGTGTCTGCATGTACATGTGTCTGTGTGTATGTACATGTGTGTATCTGTACATGTGTCTGCGTCTATGTACATGTATGTGTACATGCGCCTACATATAATACTGCTCAGCTGAAGGTTTCTTGAATAGATACTGCCTCAATGTCGTGTATATGGCCATAGATTACCTGCAGAGGATGACTCCTTGTGCTTCACTAGATTATCTATTGCTGGTTTCCATTTGCTCTATATTTACTGCTAGCAACTGTGTGAAAGTTAGTGTGTCTGTGAGCCAGGGCTGTGTCATTTTAAACACCTGACAACATTGTCACTTGCTTTTTATTTGTGCATGGTTAAGGTCTTGATTCCAATTTATATTTTTTTTAAATTTTTGTTAATCAATAACATTTGATACCTTTACATTATGTCGCACCTCGTCCTTATTTGGGACCACTTTGTAATGGAAGCGAGCTTGCTTGCATGATTCCAGCTTACTTAATGGTACGCTAGGACCCATAGGAGTTGGCAGTTAAATCTTTATATTCACCCTGCAGTGGTACTTGTTGTTTTTATACTTTAATTTATATGAAATACAGGAATCCACCATATTTACAACTGGTCAGAGATCATCCTTCCACCTCCACTCCAGCTTAGGAAAAGCTCACCAAACAAGAATAAAATATGATATGTTAATAGCGAGCGCTCAGAATCATAAAATATAGTAAATTAAACTATAAAGTTAAAATTAAAAATTCAATAAAAGCATAAAATGTTAAGCTGCAATTGCACCAACCAAGGATATCCAGGACCCCGCAGAGAGCTTATATTCAATGCACAATTTCCTTGTGCATCTGGTGAGTGCGCAATTTATACAATTGGAGCACGGAGTAACTTTTAAGAATTACTGAGGAGGATTCTCTTCCTGCTGACCATTGCAAGTCAAGCTTTCACATATATGCACTTAATAGACTGTTCATTTTTTTAGGTGCAATTTGGCACCATATGCATATGATTTGTGATTCTGATTAATACTATAGCGTTGCACCTATTTTTATTTATTAAGAATAAAAATATGCCTCTCATAGTGTAATACTTCCAAAAACACCAACCTTTTATTAAACAAAAATGGAGAACTCACAAGAAAAGTGCAGTCAAATTCAGGGCACACAGATACATTGCATTTTTAATGTAAAAACATTGCCCCCTTAACCTTCCTAGCGGTCTGATTATTTCAGATTTTTGGTGCTGAAAGCGGTACCATTATTTTGCATGGAAATAGTAGTTTTTTTTATTGTAGGCTGTAATTTTTAGGAATAACTCACTGAAATCTGTCCGATTAAGAGTCTAGTAAACATCCCGGGTATGATAAAATTTGAAACACAAAATCATAAATTATAATTTAATAAATAATCATAAAAAATAATAATAATAATACAATTCAATAATATAATCAAACCAAAAACACTGAAATTTGAAATAGAGCGCCAAGTTCGCACATTGCTGAGCAAAGTCGCAAAATCGTTTTCAGTGTCTGATGACGAATTTCCCCACACGAATCATTATCACTCAATTCTGCAAGTGGTTCTGATTTACTATCGCTGTTCTCTAGCTGGTCTAAAACCGCTTTTGACCTAAAGGGACGCTTTTTGGACGCCATGGACTTTTCTCAGTTTTTTCAGGCAGAAAGAACAGACAAAATGCAGGCAGGGCACAGGACAAAGCACTAGGGACAAAATGTATGTGAAATGGGTTGAAACAGCAATGTTTTGCTATGTAAAATTTGTTTGAAAAAAATGAAATTTAAAATTTTCAAATTTCCCGCCGCCGCCCGTACGTCCCGACGTCACAGGGACCGGAACACAGAAGCCAGATGCCGGCATCGGCCAGAGGAGATGGCCGGGACGCTGCAGGGGACACATCGCGGGAGGAGCGAAGGACAAGGTAAGCTCTGCAGGGACTCCCTATGCAGCACCGCATGGTAAGCCCGAGTGTAGCTCAGGGTTACCGCTTTTGGCACTGACATTTTACCCCGAGCTACACTCGGGAATACCGCTAGAGAGGTTAAGGATCAGCATCAGCTCTTCCAAAACTGCATAAAGATAACTTACTTCCTGTTCAGGGCATAATGAAGTGGCCCTGCCCCTGAAAGTCTTGTCACATGATCAATGGCTTGTGAAAGTCACCCTATATACGCTATGGGGGTTATTTACTAAAACTGGCGAGTGCAGAATCTGTGCAACTCTGCATCAAAACCAATCAGCTTCCAGGTTTTATTGTCAAAGCTTAATTGAACAAGCTGAAGTTAAAAGCTGATTGGCTACCATGCACAGCTGCACCAGATTCCGAGTGCACCAGTTTTAGTAAATCTACCCCTATACATCTAGGTTATTTTTTTTCCAATTTATCTAGAACACTCCTCCAGTTAAAATGAATTAGTGTTAACTAGAGGGGTATAAGGGGCATCTTTTTCTTGTTTCATTAGGGAAACTAGCAGAAAGCGTTCACCCTAGCTGATAGGGATAAATAGAGTGCAAGTATCCACTGACACATAAAAGGTGTTTTTAAATAAATTGCTAGCTAGCTCATTTTCAGCATCTGCAGATAATGGCATAAAGTGATTACAATGTTTGGTACTATGATAAATAACATTTGTTACTTGGTAGTTATCAGGTACTTCATATAAATGAAAATGATTGTCAGTCATAGGGTTCAATCTACAGTATTTATTAAAATTTTAAGTGAATATTGTAGGATGCCCACCAGCACAGAAAATAAAACAAAATACTGTATAATGAGAAATATGTAAGGCAGCCTCAGTATTAAGGCTTAGAACAAAGAAAGACTTCTACCTCAGAGAGTCTGTTGGTAGAAAAAAATAGAGAGAAAAAAGAAAATAGTGCAGGATAACAAGGTAGAAATAACTTCTAGTTATATGCATTTTAAGAAATGGGGAATACCTCGACATACAGCCATTACAAATGTGTGTACCTGCTAACAAAATATTGCTACCACAGTGACTTCCCTAAAATTAACAGTAAGATATCACTGGTGTTAGACTGAAACATGTCTGTTGGCTGACAATAATTTAATTATGGCCAGCAATAGTGTGCCAGTTCCAGAACAAGGGGTAGAGGGCCAGAAATGGTTGGCAGGGGAGGTGGTTAGAGCAAGAGGGTTAGAGTGGTAGCAGGTACAGTGGTGGGAGTGAGAGATGATGAGGTCAGGTGACCACAAGGAAGTGTAAAGGCATGTCCAAAGGGGTGAGGGGGGATGAGGTGCAGATTATGCGGTGAGATGGAAGTGTACAGAAGCAGTAATGAGAGCATGCAGGTAACTCAGGCACAATCGTGAAAGCGAAGGGGTGGCATGCACTGCATGGCTGCAGGTGCTGTGGTGCAAGGATAAGAGCAGAAAGGGTATATGCAGGCAAGGTGGTAAAGAAGGAAAGAGCTGCTGGCAGGTTGCTGAGAGGAGGGGATGCTGGCAGATTACTGGGCGAAAAGGTCTTCTAGAATGTTACTGAATGGAAGAGGATGCTGACACAGTGCTAAGAGAAGGGTGCTGCTGACATGGTCGTGGAAAGAAACAGCCACATGTCTTCTTAATATCAAGTGCCTATGAGCTCTGCTCTCATGTAGTTTTCAATCTTCCAAGACTCTTTTTGCTGGCTGATAGCTACTGCATATGTATGGCTTCTTGTCGCTGGCTACTTAATGCTCCTCTGCATGTGTGGCTTTTCTGTGTCATTTTGCTTTGACCTGTCAACAGTATGGTTGTGAGATCCTGTGCATGCGTAGTACTTAACAATCATTACTGTGCTTGTGTGGGATCTTGTCACCATATGTCTTACACCACAATATTGCAGCAGGATTCCATGTAAGAGTGGTAGCAACTCCAGACTGGCTGTCTTCCATAGTGGTCATGGAAGCATCACTGTTTCAGCCCATTCTAAGGATGCATGCATGGCTCTCGTAGAAGTATCATGTTATTAGCTCAACCTGATGACACAACTATCAGCCATATCTGAATGAACCGAGATGGAACCCATGTGACATCTTAGCAAAGTCCAAGGGAGTGAATTATTATAAAAAATTTGGCTCATTCAAAGCAAATTTTTTAATTAAACTAATCTAATATGTGTCTCTAGCCAACAAATCTATTGTTTATCCCATATTATTATTATTATCCTAAACTCTGCATTTCAACATGACACTATGGGGGGTGGGCAAAAACACAATTTTGTTTCTTGTAATCTTCCTTGATAATAAGCTGACTGATAATGGCATTCATACTTCCTGAGAAAGAAGCAAATCCCTTACACCTAGCAGTAATCACCCACTGGTGAGTCTCACAGTCACAGTACACATTTTAGTTGACTACTTCTAAAGCTGGATTTTATAGTTTTGTAGTACAATCTTAGAATTGTAGATCTATTAAATTGCCTAGCAACTATTGAGTAATTAAAGTGAATTAAAGTTTTTGGTAGAATGGAGAAAGGTTAGAACCCCTGTCAGGTTTTACTGCTTTCCATGACTCTGTTTGAGAGATTTCCCCTTGGTTTCAGTCCTATGGACAACATTTTACTACATTTTATACAATAAAAAGCTGACAACGGTTCTGGCAATCCCTACTTAATTTAAAAACATTTTTACTTCTGTCTGTGTTGCTATAGAGATCTCCCCTCATGTCCTGTCATGGGGACAATCTCTTAATCAGGCAGGAAGTGAAGGAATCACTCCAACAGAGCTTCCAATTGCAGTACAGCCTGACTGGAGTTCCAATCCTTCTCTGTTCTAGCCAAAGCTAAAAAAAACGCCCACCCACAATAGATGGGTGGCTGGCACAGGCAAAGCAATGCACCCACAAATCACCTCCTGCATCCGGGTTTGTGGGGGCAAAATCAAAGACATAGCAAAATATATTTTAGCCAAAATTTATGAAGAAATTTGATTTTTATATATTTATTTTTATTGGCATCTGTTAGAAAAACATATTTATGTTTTGTAACAGAAAGTTAAAAAAAAATATTTTTTTTCAAAATTTTTGGTCTTTGTTTTTGTTTATGTCGCAAAAAAAGAAAAACCCAGAGATAATCA